TTAAAAAAAATTTTTAAATAAATACTTATTTAATAATTATAAAAATTTCAATTATAAAAAATTTTTTTGCAGATTTTTTTGCAACACCCTGTATATTTATTTTTAGAATTCATAAAACATTTATATAATTTCAAATTATATAGCTACTTTATAACATAATAGTTCAAAACCTAAGTTTTTGTAATTATTTGCAGAAAGACTAGTGTTACAGGGAAACTAATCAATAAATAATATTGCTAATAAATTGAGAAACGATAATCATGCATTATAGAGGTTGCCAAAATGGATAATTAACCCTTAACTTCGTTATTTCTTTTATTTTTGTTATTTCTTTTATTTCTTTTATTTTTTTTTGTTATAAAAAAGTATAAAAACAATGTTTAAAAATATAGTTAAAAAAAAAGAAAAGAAAATTATATAATAAAACAGTATTTATTAGTTAAAAGTCATCATACTTGTCACACATTTCAGATCAACAAAATCTTTTAAATTACACAAACTTGTCAAATATATTCCTTTTTCTGCCTTTACATCCTTTTCGTTATATTAGATGTCCTTGTCAAAGTACTATAAGTTAAGGATTTCACTGTTACTATTGATAGGCTCCTGTCTTGTAACACTAGAACTTAAAAATAATTAATATAATAATATTTTAAATAGTTAAGTATTTTTTTCATAAATAAAATTTTTCTTTGATAATTATTTAAATATAACAAAAACAATTCTTAAGATAATTCTTAATATAAATAGATGGATTATAATAATAATTAAAATATAAATTTGACTTACAATTGATCAAAATACTATAAAATAACTATATTTTTTTGCAGCCTTAAAAAAAAGAACAATTTAAATTATAAATAAATATATGGAATTCTTGTATTATTTTATAATACCTTTTAAATTCTTTAATTTTAAATTCTTATTTTTTTTGGTATTTTTTATTATCTTTTAAAATTCAATTTTTATATATTATTATCTTTTTGATTTCAATTTAATGCAGAGTTATAAAATTTATTTGGTATAATAATATTTAATTATTTATATTAAATTATTTAATATTGTTTAAAACAGAACATATGTTAAATAAATTAAGTTATTTAGAATTAAAATGCAGTAATTTTGAAATAAAATAAATAAAAATTGAAAGTTTTTATATATTGGATTTCAAATTATATAAATTTTTCAACTTCAATTACAAATTAATTCTTAATAAATTATTTTTATTTTAAATATAAAATTTACTATATTAAGTAAAATTATCATTTGAAATAATTAAATTGATTAAGAGAAAAAGTAAATTAATAATAATACTTTTGTTTAATTAAACAAAAAAATATAATTTAACTCGATTAATTCATCTTTAATACAAATTATTTAACAAACATCAAAAATATTTTTATTATTTGAACCTGTAAGTAATATAATTTATTTATATTTAACAATTCTAATATATAAATTATTGTGTTTATAGATGAAAAAAATATATAATATAAATAAGAATTCATTACAATCTAATAATCAAGCAAAGATTTTACAAGTATGTTAATTCTCAAATAAATTTTAAAATTTTAAAATCAAAAAATTTTAAAACACATTAGATTCATCTATAAATAATTTTTTGTTAATAATATTTGAATTAATAATAATAGAAAATGAAGTAAATATCACAACAATCTATAATTTAGTAATATATATAATTATAATAAATTTTCAAAAAATTATTTAATTATATAACAGATAAGAAAATATGTGATAAACAAATAATTATTTATAATTATTTATGAATTTATAAAATTTACAATATATTTACAAATATTTTTATTAGGTTTTAATAATTTTGCAAATTGATAAAAGATTTCAAAATGATTTATTAAAACAAACATTAATATGATAATATAATTTTATAAAAAAAAATACCATATAAATATGGATGTGCATATATTTAACCAATTGAAGTATATAATATGGTAAGCATAGAAGCTATCCATGATATTGTTTATATAATATCTTGTTTTGATAAAAAAAATGAGTATTTAGTTGATAATATTATTTAAAAAAATTTTTATTTAATTTAATTTCATAGAATTTTGAAGTATCATAAAATTAATTAAAAACTTAATAAATTTTTTCATTATTCTTTAGTATAAGTAAATATAATTGATTAAAATTATGTTTAATTTATTATATGAAAAATTTTTTCTAAATATTTCTATTACTCGTTAAGAATATTTTAATGTATTAAATTAACTAATAACAAATTACCTTTGTGCTCTTTTGTTTAGAGAAACTTGCTACAATATATTCACGTTTGATAGACCGATATTTAGTGTGCACGTAAGCATAAATTATTTCGTTAACAAACATTATTTTATTGTATTTTAACTGTACTCTTATGCATTGCTTGTAAGAGTAGTTAATGTTGCGCGTTCGTACCTTTCACATGTGTTAAGCCCAACTATATCATTATATCATTAAACTGAACATACGGTAATACCAAAATCCTTACTCGTGCATAGATTCATCCCCTGAAGTATTTTCGTGTTTACCTTCATCACCCGTTAGAGTATTACTATGAGGAGGGAAGACGACCCCGTCAATATCGATCAGATAATCTTCTAACAGAAGTCCTATTTTCTCAACATCTAATTGGACTTCGTCTTTTTTACCAAA